TGTGTATCTTTTTGTGCTACATTTTTCTGCATAATTTAGGTGCAGCAGATGTCATCCACATCATGTCAAAATGTCAAAATTTCATGATGAGTGGATGAATTGAAATGGCCCAAAAATACTAGGAAAATATCATTACATTGACTTACTATAAAAAATAAAGAATGTTGTTAATTTACTATTTTGGATACTTTTTACTGTCTATATTGATTTTATAAATTTCCCTGTGTTAACGCTATGTGCTCATGTTCTTCACTGTTCATGGGAAAGCTCTAAAACTGCATTAAAAAAAGCACTATATAATTTTCTCATCAAACAAATAATAATACATCATTACAATTTTGTCTTTCAGTTAACTTTTATTAACTTTCATTTTACCTATTTTGGTAATATTGACCCCTACTTACTGATACAAATATACAAATATATTTTAGTACATGCTATTCACATGGAAATGAAATAGGCAGCTGAATCAAATAAATTAACCCATGAAATCCCAGTGGCCAGATTGTGACCAAAATGTTTTAAGTTTGTGTGTCTAAAAGAGTTGTTGAGGTGTCTTTGTACTGAACCAAACCGTGTATTACATTTTAGGTTGTCTTGATTTCTTACAGTCATTTTATGTGAATGGTGTAAGTGGTCACATTGCCAGAGGCATTTACTTCAAGCATGCACCTGTGAAAGATGATATGTGCATTAGAGCACCACAAAAAAGTAAATAAAACATGTTATAATACCAATACAATTGCTACATTCAGTATATATATATATATATATATATATATATATATATATATATATATATATATATTGCTACTTAAAAGGAGGTCATACAAGGAGAAAACATTGTAAGTGACTATATTGTAATTGGGTCTAACTGATAGCATAATGCAACTTTTGGCTCTTTAGTTTCCCACCAGTTTGTCTCCTGCATCCTTGTCGTGTACTTAGCACTTGCAGTACTCAGGTGTTCTGTGTGCATATAGAAAAGAAACAAACAAACAAACGAAAATTCATATTTTATTCATACATTTCAAGTTCAGCTTGCATTTATTCCTTGCATGATTTTGATTATTTAGCTATTTTTTTATAATTACCTAATCTATTAATATGTGTACTTATCATAGATAGTTCAATATGTTTCATACATAATTCAGCTTTATTTACCAAGTCTATGAGCAGGTATTATAGTACATTACAGTATTCCAAATAGTGGTTGCTAATGATTGAAATTAGCAAATAGCAATAAATTGGAGGCATCCAGAAGTGCTCAAGTCAGTTTCCCAACATCACTGCACATAAGAGGTTAGAGTGAGGAGAGCAGTCACTCTGAATACACTCTATCACTTGTTTGCTTTCGGGCCACTGGGCTCTGATTATGAACATTTCACACACTCATCCTTTTCTAAAGGAGAATGATGGTGTTGATGCAGTGTAGAATTCCTGTAGCAATGCTCTGTGCTGTTCATTACCTAGTTCAGAAATACAGTACACTATTCTGTACACAGGAATATGCAACACTGGGTTGAAATTTCACAGAAACAGCATATCTAATCTTTGAACCCATGGACAGTGTGGAAATATGCATATACACATATTTAGACAATGTCCTGATATGTATCAAAAGACTTATTGGCAAATGTAGACAGCCACTTGAGATTTCAACTCCCAGTCCCACCAAAGCTGTGAGCCAGTCCAAAAGCAGCGTTGATTCTGTTTCTCTGACGGTCATTCTTATTCTGTGACCTGGATTATGGGATGGTGTCCTGGAAAAGAGAAAAGATGAGCAATTGAGATTGTGTTGGAAAGTATGATGTGTTATTTGACTGCCTGGTCAGTTTACATCCACAGTGAGGGGATTTGAAGAGCCGTGTCAGACTTACGTAACTGATGTTGTTGTTGTTGCTGCTGATCACAAACAGCTTTGGAGCTTTTAATATGGAGCTCCAAAATGTCTAACTCTAGTTTCTTCCAGTGGTGGAAAGGACTTGAGTGATGAGTTTTGGAAATAAATACTTGTATTTTTGTCCAATTGCATTTCCAAGGAAAAAAACAACAACAAAAAAAAACGTATTTTTACTTCTTGCATTTTCATTTAAGCCTTCACTTACAAATCTGAAAGACCATTTCAGTCAAATTCACTCATTTTGATTATTTATTTTTGTTTAACTTTAACAATCAAATTTATATCAGTGTAAAACTCCACCACCCACAACTCTGCTTATTTGTCAAAAAACAGTACTGCCTATTAGTCGTATAACACCCGTGGGCTGCACTGCTGAGGAAGATGAGGAGCAGGAGTGGAGTGTTTTGCTGCAGGACAGAGAATGAGTGTGTGTTGTGATGCAAATGATGTGTAACGGTTATGACAACATAACACTATGTATGCTGAATTTTATGAATGGTTAAGAATGTGCTGATAATGGTTAAGTCAGACTTGCTATTCTGGGTGATGTAGCATTGGATCAGCTCATAATAATGTAAAAAAAATGTTACATCTTAAAACAGTGAGCTTTTAGTTGTTATATAATCGCTGTCAGAACAAAAGTCATATTTCCCTTTTTACTGTTTTTATTTTGCTATAATTTGAAATACCAGCTACCATTTACATTGTGTAAACATTTCATGGCAAATGAACAAATAGTCTGGTCTAAAATTATTTGGGATAAAATCTTTCTGCCTTAATGTACATTTAAAGTTGAAAACATATTTTTCTTTGCTGTTAAAGTTACTGTGTAGATAGGAGGTTTTGTTCAGACAGCAATGGTATATATGAGCATGTTTATGTGCAGATTATTTTGGGCTCCATACTCCCATTTTTTACTTAACTTACTTACTTAACACAATAGCAATCACTTCACTTTGTTTCTCTGTAGATTTTACATTCTTGGCTTCTATCATCTCAAACTGTTTTTTTTTTTTATTGGTAGTACTTACTAATTTTTACTACACCATCTCAAAGTTCAACAAGGGGAGGAAAAAGGAAGCACCTAACTAACCAAATCACAACAAATTAAAAATGTTACCCTGTTTTGGTGGAAGTGAAATTACCTAAAGCCCTTTATGTAAATTATCAGAAGAGAAGTGCAAAGTTCGCTGGCTAACTTATGTTGTGGGAGCTGCATTATGAGAGTAAATAATTAGACTTATCACAGAACTACAATTTTATTGTCCTTCACCCATTTAACCATTTTGACTGTTGATATCATCTCCTTGTGACCTCACACCTGTCCTTCCCTCTTCTACCTTTCACCCCTTTTTAGGGTTGAGGAATATCACTGTCCACACTTATTCAGGAATTCTGGAGTATATCTCTGCTTGTGTGCACATCAAGTCATTGGTATTGCTGTTAAAGCTCCAAAAATTACATGAACTATAACACAGAAGCAAGTCCCTTACATCTATTCATCTGTATTAGACCTAATACATGTAACCCCTTCAAATCCAAGGCTTATTACATACTAAGGCTTATTATTTGGTAATTACGTGGACAACAATGCAAACTAGCTGAGCTATTCTTAGGTCATAAAGGTGTGTAATAAAACTTTGGGCCTGCCGGTAGGCCCAGGTCTTTTAAGGGGTTAATATATACAGTCTGATCTTGATTCTGATTTTTTGCATTTTAATTACTTCATTTTTTTGACAGTGCTAAATGTGTGCTTGTTCTGATATTATATGCTTATCTTGTGTGCAAATGTTATCAAAATTATTGCACTACTGCTGTTATCATCATATTTTGTCAAAATGTATAAGCCAGTAACCAAATGTTAGCTTAAGCTAAATCATGTGATTTTCATAGTAGATTTACTAATTCAAAACTTTGTCAAGCTGGCATAAACGAGGCTAGAGAGTTGTAAATGGACATGAGGTAGGAGGTATTATTGAATCAGATTTGACTACTGGAAATACTTCAGTCTGCATAATCAGTTTTGCTGTTATGCATTGCATTCACCATTGGCTGATTATGTGTCCCATAAAAAATAATGATTGTGTTGAACGCTCATTCATTTATTTGTTCATTCAATCATTCACTGAAGCTGCATCAGAGAAGAGGGTAGGGGTGGTTAGGAGACGGCCTGTTTTATTACATATCATTCATGCAGGACGACAGTTTAAAGCATTACAGAACTGTATCACTTAAAATGTAAAATAATAGATTGAGTCATATGAGCATATGAGCCATATTAAATGAGACTTTAAAGACAACATTAGCTTTCAGGATAAGATCTTGGTAGCAGGCTTAATTATGGGCCATATCTCAAATCAGTGTGTATAATTCAGAAAGCATAGTGTTTATAAATTGTAACTAGAACTTGGGCAGTAAACTGAATATGCAACTGAATATTACTGTATATATCTGGCTGTAGGCACTAAAGTGACTTTTGATAAAGGAGACAAAGAAATTGGATGATGAACGGGAAAAATGTTGTATATACAAAACAAACGTAAAAAGGCTCATGAGGACATGTTGGTTTTGTGTTTAATGAGCAAAGTACTGGGATCTGATGCAACAGTGATGTAGACATGATGCAGCTGGAGATAATCCCTCTGCCTCTAAATGCTCTCTTCCACTATAGTGGCAAACAAATGCAGGACCCCATGTCATTTTGTAAAAGATGTTTTTTCTAATGTTGTCTTGAAAAAACATTGGAAACATTCAGGGCAGCAATAAGTAAATAGATTGAAGGGAAAAACAGTAGGTCAACACAAAAGGTCTCGGAGGAACCTACTGTAATTTAAGCTTTAAGGCGGTTGTGCTCAAAACATATTTTGATATGATTGCATTCTACATATATGTGCAAAGCAGCTGGTCAAATGAACTCGATCAGTATATCAAAGGTCATTTGCATTAAAGGTTCGTTCAAGGGCTTGACATTGAAGTGACCATGACTTACCTTCTTACGTCCAAATTTTGGTTTTAGGTTAAATATTGCCCATAGTGGAAAGTAAAAAAGGAGGAAAAAAACATGGAAATTTCAATATCAGCAGCAGTTTATCCTATCCATTTGATATGCTGGCCATTTATACCAGCGTGCTTCTCTTCTCACGCAGGTCGGGGGTGGGTGGCACATAGTTGGTGGCAGCTGTGTTGTTCTGCTCGTTGTAGCGGGATGATGCTGGAGAATTCTGCATCACCACGAGCCGGATGGGAGACTGCTGCTGTGGGGCTGGAGGCTCTGAAACATACTCCTTGGAGGGGTCCTTGCCACGGCAGTCGTAGAGGATGCAGGAGATGAGGAAGACCAGGAGCAGGATCACGTAGCTCGCGATGAGGATGATAAGATTCAGGGTGACCGGATCAATCTCCAGGTAAAACTCCATAAGACCCATGGCGAAGCTTCATCCCTCACGCCGCGCTCCGAGAGAAACGTGGGCACCATGGACTCTCGCCTGGCTCCTGTGCCGCTGCGCAGCGATCAGTGCAATATCCCAGAGAGCAACAGCAGGGCCCTCGCCGCAGATCAGAGTGGATATGTAGCTTTGCAGTTCAAAGACTTTAATCCCTCCCGCTACTCCTCCAACCTTGAATTCCTGTAGCCAATGATTAAAAGCTGCTCAGTTTAATAACTTAAGCTACCATTTTAATTTTGCCAACTGCACATTGCAGGATGAATTTTGCCAAATTATGGTGCAGAGGTAAAGATGGATGAAACTGAACCTTTGCCCTGTCTCGTTCCTGTCATTTTGCCAAGAACACGTCTCGGTGGGATTTGGGAGATTATTGTGTAATAAATGACTTATTAGTTTTGTCATTACTGATGAGCAGTGATGTAACACAAAAGCCCAGTTTGGTAAAGTTTGGTCAAATTGAAATGAAGAGTTTCACTCCAAAATGTTGCATATTCAACAAATTTGAATGAGTTTTTGAAATGACTAACATTTTTCATTTCTCTAATAAATGTGTCAAGCCCACTCCGAATGACCTATTTCATGAAAAAAAAAATGTTCAGTAGTGGTCTATAAGGTGTTTTGCAACTAAACCCTTTAATTTGTCTATATACATGTATTACACACAACAGTATTTTAGGATATAAGTACATTTCACTTTACAACCAGGATGTATACTCAAGCATCTGAAAATATCAGGTAACATCTAAAAGAAAACTGACAATAGTCTGTTACTCCAGAATTTACAGCTAATTACTAATGACATAAGTCATCACTTCTACCGTGTGAAACTGTTAATGATACTGACCAAATGATAATATTTGGAGTCGGTGAATTTAGTGGACAAAAGTCCAAAAAAAAGCAAAGTTATTTCCTTAATCTGGATTTGTGGCATCTGTTTGACAGTGTTTCTCTTTTGCTAAAATATAGAGTCCATCTGAGCCCATTACAGCTTAATGTGGAGTGTGTAGTAGCAAACCCACTTGCCCACAGTTTTATAAGTTTGACACACACTGTGATTGCAAGGTGCCAGATTAAATGTTCTAGGCTATACAGGGATGTCAGAAAGTGGGCCATGGTGCCATATGTGACATCTGTCTGGTTGATCCAGTAGAAAACTGTGTTTGTAACAATACCATATTCCATGCCTCACCTGTTCAGCCACCTAAACTCTTCATATACTGTGTTTACATACTATAATGCAGTAAAACTTTACATACTAAAATGCCGTAAAACTGATTTTAGAACTTTACCAAAACAGTAACATGAACTTAAATGCTTAGTAAAATTTAAATCATCTATTAAATTTAAATCATCTATTACTAGTTTGATTTTAGTCCTTTAATTACTTATTTAATCTGGATTTAATATTGTATATTACAGTACACTCATGCCATAATATAATATGCAGCTTAAAGTACACTTCACAGTAAGACTTACCTACATATAATTATGTAAAAAAAAAAGGTTATGCAAAAAATGATACAAATACAAAAAAGCTCAATGATATTATGTGTAACAAAACAATGTCAGTAAATTCATTATAATATGTTGATTCATTGTTGTAAACTAATTTCACAGTATTGGGTACAAAACAACAGGCACATACAATTCAGGTCAAAGCCAACTAATGAGACAATGTAGTCCACACATTCATTCACAGAATTTGTGTCACCTGTCAATCAGACAGTTTCATCTGAATGCGGAACTCTGAATCCATCTGTGCATTTGTTTGTTCTGGGTCAATTCCCAGATAATCAAGAAACACCACTGACCTACTAATTTGCTACCTGCTTGGTTTCTCAGTTTAGGACTAAGGACATTGCATAGGGTTAGTATATCTCACTAGTACAACCCCATTTCCAAAAAAGTTGGGACGCTGTGCAAAATGTAAGTAAAAAAAAATGCAATGATGTGCAAATCATTTAAACCCTATATTTAATTGAAAATAGTACAAAGACAACATATCAAATGTTGAAACTGAGAAATATATTGTTCTTTGAAAAATATATACTCATTTTGAATTAATTGCCAACAACACATTCCAAAAAAGTTGGGATGGTGGCATGTTTTCCCACTGTTTTTCATCACCTCTTCTTTCAACAACACTCTGTAAGTGTTTGGGAACTGAGGAGACCAATTGCTGTAGTTTTGAAAGAGATATGTTTTCTCATTCTTGTTTATCATAGGATTTCGGCTGCTCAACAGTTCAGGGACTCCTTTGTTGTATTATTAATTTATGAATTCACCAAATGTTATCAGTGGGTGACAAATCTGGACTGCTGGCAAGCCAGTTTAGCACCCAGACTCTTTTAATACAAAGCCATGCTGTTGTAATACATGCAGAATGTGGTTTGGCATTGTATTGTGGAAATAAAGCAAGGCCTTCCTTGAAAAAGATGTCATCTGGATGGCAGCATAAATTGCCAAAACATGTATATATCTTTCAGAATTAATAGTACTTTCACATGGAACTTTGACATGATGTGCACGTCACCCATGCCATGTGCACTAATACACTCCCATACCATCATGAATGCTGACTTTTGACCTGTGCACTGATAACAAGCTGAGTGGTCTTTAGCCTGGAGTACACAGTGTCCATGATTTCCAAAAAGAATTTCAAATGTTGATTTGTTGGACCACAGGACACTTCTCCACTTCCCCTCAGTCCATTTTAAATGAGCTCAGGCCCAGAGAAAGTGGTAGCATTTCTGGATCCTGTTTATGTGTGGTTTCTTCTTTGCTTTTTAGAGTTTTAACTTGTAGCGATGAACTGTTTTCATAGACAGTGGTTTTCAGAAGTGTTTCTGAGCCCATGCAGTGATTTCCACTACAGAATCATGTCTGTTTTTAATGCAGAGCCACCTGAGGGCCCAAAGATCACGGCCAGCAAATACTTGTCTTTGGCCTTGTCCCTTGCATACAGAGATTTCTCCAGATTCTCTGAATCTTTTAATGATATTATGTACCGTAGATGATGAAAAGCAGAAGTTCTTTGCTATTTTAAGTTGAGAAACATTATTCTTGAATTGTTGCACTATTTGATCGTACAGTCAGAACCCTTCCCCATCTTTACTTCTGAAAGACTCAGCCTCTCTGTGATGCTCTTTTTATACCCAATCATGTTACTGACCCATTGCCAATTAACCATTAGCATTATACAACTTTACCAGCTTTTTTGAAATGTGTTGTTGGCATCAAATTCAAAATGGGCAAATATTTAAAAAAAAATAATAAAATTTCTCTGTTTCAACATTTGATGTGTTATCTTTGTACTATTTTCAAATAAAAGTAGGGTTTAAATGATTTGCACATCATTGCATTTTGTTTTATTTTCATTTTGCACAGCGTCCCAACTTTTTTGGAAATACAATTGTAAATGTTATTGCTTTTTTTTTTCAAGAATGTGATCAGTGTAGTCTGAAAACTATCCGAGATTGCATTCTAATGCATGTGTGTGTTTTAAATGTTAAAAAAATCCTTCTTCCATTTCAGTTCCGGCTGTCTCTGAGGCTCTCAACCAGGGTGGTCTGACTTCTCGAGCGCATTTCCATTTCTTTGCCCCGCCGGACTTTCCAGCACACTGCAGTGAGGCCAAGCAGCAGGAGACTGCTGGAGAGCAGCACCAGCCCCAGGATGGAGATGGTGGAACCGTGGGAATTGAAGCTATAGGCTACAGCAGTAACTGCAATGCCAATCATCAGGAGCACCACACTGAAAGGTAAAGTACAACGATAGCAGGAGCCCTCCGTGCCTCCAGTGGCCACAGTCAGCTCCAGTTCTTTGATGAAGATGGAATTTGTCTTTATAGCACAGTGAGTACTCATATTTGAGTCTGTATCCTCAAAGATCACAAATGTGTTTGAAAAGCTCAGTACTTTCACTATGGTGGCTTCTTCGGTTTGCTTCAATCACAACATCTGACAGAACAAAGGAGAAGCAGAGAGAAACTATTTTTTCATCATTGGTTATTGCAGTTAAAAAGTTATTACAGAGAATGACAATGTGGCAAAAATAGTAAGTAATAGTAGTAATGAAAACATCTGATACAGTGAATTTTTCACCACTTAATGAAGGTCTATAAACTGGTGAAATATTCATTTTGTCCATTTATGTGTTGTCCAAGTATGCACCAACTCCACTGAGATATACTCTTTGTTCATTCAAATATACCAATAAAATGATTTTTATTGCTATGCAAATGCAGTAAGGAAAAATAGACATTAACTCTTCTGTTACAAAATATTTTTCATAATGCAGCAGACCTAGTACACTTATTTTAAAAGGAAAATACGGAAAGATTTTACCATAAGCAGAAACAGCGCTCAGAGTTTGGGTTAAACTTACCATGACACCTGTGGAACGATGCTGCTTTTCTGTGCTGGTATGGATGACCCCTAAATATCAGTCTGAAATGAAGTATCAATAGCCCAACAGGGAGTTCCTTCCTCCTCACCCTACGGCTGGATAAATTAACCCTCTCTATGCTGGATTCCTATAAAAGTATTTGTGTTTCACCATATAATCTTTTAAAATGTTATATGTACCTGAGATATTCCAGCAAACATTTTTACAGCACTGATCTTTCTTGTTTTAAACTTTCCCAACTTTGTTCCAGATTGCATTATTATGTTAGATGGAATTATTATATCATGAACATACATCAGATTGCACAAATATTTTACATTTAGTAAAATTACTATAGCATAAATAAATGTATGAGTATTTCACTTGTACATGCATTATATTTTTGTTTTAATGCATTTAATAAACTATTGTACAGTACTGTTAATTTTCTGTCAAAATGGCATTATGTACATGTTATTTGTTTTTCAGTGTTTCTTTTTTGAGCTCCAACAGCTAAATAGATTCTACAATTTCTGAATATTTAACAAGTCCATGCTTTGACTTTATCACCGCTTCCATTCTTTTCAAGAGACTTGCTTTTATTTCTTCAAAGAAATCTGCAAGGATATTCTTTCACACCTCAAATGCTCTGTCAGCTTTTCACAATCCAAGTACTACCAAACACATTCTTGACAGCTACACATCCTTTCAGACTCATAGCGCTGAAATGTCTTCTCACAGTGGAAGGATGGACAGAAACACCTGTGGATTTTTTCAGATCTGAAGTAAGAGTGGAGCTTGATTTTCTCCTCTCTCTCAAAGATAAAAGCTTTGACCACTGTTTCATGAGTTTGGACCATGCCTTCAACATGTGGTGGTAATGTGAGGGAAGACTGATTGAGGGAAGGGAGAAAACTCTGAGAACTTGGGATGGAGTTCTGGGCAACTTCTGCCTGTAAGGGTGGAGGTGGGGATCACGAGAACTTCGTCACGGGAAATGGAAGGTAAGGATGTGAATCTATAAGGTGTTAGATTGGATGGAGGAGGGCCATGTTCCTTCCCCCAGACAGTTCTTCCATAACTCCATTTACCTGATGGGGACAGTTTGGTGGTCTAACAGGTCTTGCGTAGTTGTTAGGAGTCCCATTTCTCTTTATCTTTTAATCTTTTTTTTTTATCAGTTTTGGAAAATGCTGTTTTTTCATTTGTTTTCCTTTGACAAATAAAATGGATTATTTTATATCCAATTTCCTCAAAAATATCTCCTATTATTCCTCGCTAATTATAATTCCCAGTCTAGGTTTCAATTCCAGATTTCACAGATTTAAAATGTCATTAATTGATTCTATAATTCATTTCTTCATTCTCAAGACAAGTAAACACAAAGACAGTACATTTGTGTTACACTTCACATTCACAGTGTTTTATCTGTTTTCATTGTCCTGATTTTCTGCACTTGTAGTGGGAAACCTTGGGAAAATACAATAAAACTTTTTTTTTCATTTTGCTGCCACAGCAGGCTAATGGGAACTGTTTGGCAAGATAGACAGGAGAGAGAGGTCAAAGACGATCAGTCATTCAAGATGGCCCACTGGAGGGTCAATCTCTTGGCCACCAGGGTGCCACATCATCCCAGAAAGCAAAACAAATCATCGTCCCACAGCTGCAAGGCCACACAGTGTCCTGGACACTCTGACCATGATGTGGATTACTGACAGATGTTGTATACCATCCACCTCTTTCATCTCCTCCTGCTCCTGTTGCTTTTGTGCCCTGATCTGACTCTTACTCCTCGCCTGTGGAGCTCTGGGTCCAGATGATTGTGATTTTGTACACTTCCTGATTTCATCTAGACACAAAAATAAAATAGATGATGTTGTGTCTTGGTGTTTTCTCTCAGAAATCCTGATCTCTTGGATACATGGGTCCAATTTATTAGCGACATGGGACCAACATTTCTTCCCACTTCTTGAAGGGTATTTCAGACACACTCTAACTGATTGCTATTTGAAAGCAGAAGAGGTTTTCTGAATGTGTCTGAATACAGAGGAGAAATATTAATAACACTTCAGTCAAATCACTCATATGGAACAGTCAACACTTCTGGATTGCCCTTATTTGACTTTAGTGGGAAAAGTAAGGAGCTCAGTCCCAATCTCAGTTTATGGTAGAACATAATGGCTCTAATGCCATGTCATCTTCTGTGGTTTTTACCTTTTATGCACAATGCAGATGAAAAACTTATTAGAATAAAAGAAAAAAGCCAACAGTGCCTTTACAATCAGTGGTGCTAAAGCTCTTTGATAAGCCTACCTTCAATTTATGTCTGATGCATGATTGATGCAGGTCTATGATTTATGATTTTGAATGATTAGTATTTTTTGTAACTTAATATCTATTCATATTGTGAAACTTAATTCCATAACACCAGTTTGTAATCCAGTGTCTAATTTCCCATACTATGCTCTAACAGATATTCTCACTTTACTTGAATAATAATAATAATAATAATAATAATAATAATAATAATAAACTTTATTTACAGAGCACTTTTCATACAGGTAGCAGCTCAAAGTGCTTTACAGACAGATGATAAAATTCAGCATGAGTAATAAAATAAAAAGGTTAAGTTTAGTGGTTTTCTTTTATTATTGTTACTGTTGTGTAACAGAAAACGAAAGTTTAAAGTATTAACTAAAATGAAGAAAACAGTAACACAGACAAAACGAAAAAGATAAAGACAAAAAGAAAGGTAATATTTCGCTTAAAAGCTAAATAAAATAGACACTTTTTCAAATGTGTCTTAAAGGTGTTTACTGAGCTTGACTGCCCAATAAAAGGTGGAACTGAGTTCCACAGTTCAGAAGCGCAAAAACAGACAGAGGCCTCTTCACTTTTTCTGTAGTTCTCAGTGAGTTTTCGCAGATGACCAATATCTGCACATCTAAGATCACAGACCAAAACAGAATTATACACTTTGTAAGAATTATTCACTTGTTATTCAGTATTCACAGGCCAGTTTGTCAGTATACGGTATAGGCTGAATCATACAGATATAGGGTATAGTTATTACAAAGCTGTGTTTTTCACTGAATATCAGAAGCAGACTACCACCATGGCTTGCCACGGCACAGATTCTAGGCGATAATAACACTATACCCGGTGCCTGTCTCACCCTCTTAAATAACAGGCTTGTAGAGGAATGCCAGGTGTGGAAGCTTTAAAGCTTTCTGGCTGAGCTTCTTCTCTTCGTGAGGGTCTGTAACATCAACACGAAGATGCCCTGTTTATCTAACTCCGTGGGTTAATTGCAGTCAAGCAATTTTCCTGAATAACTCCTCAAATATTTCCTGTCTAAAATTGTCTTCCCTCTGACATCCTCTTTGAAGTTCGGACGAGGAAACTTTCAAAAGAAATCTTTCTTTTTTCCCTTTTCTTTTTAAGCACACGGTTCAAAACTGCTCCTAAACTTCCTCAGACAGCCGAGTGCAGAGATGAGGGAACAGTCAGTATGAAATGATTGAATAGGAATGGAGGGATTTTATGTTCGGAACGAAGAATAATTGCCAGATGACAGAGGGTGCCGAGCTTGGGTCACTTCCTGATGCCGAACAGGGTTCATACTTGGTGAGTTTTTGAGAAAAAAAATAACACTAAAATAACACTAAAACTGTCTTAAGTTTCACCTCAGACGCGTTACTTTTTGGGCTACTGTTTTCTGTGCTGAGCGGAGCCTAAGGAGAAGTCGAGGCAAAGAAAAATGCAGACGTTTTTTGGGCTGCGAGTTAGCAGCAGCTCTTCAAACCAGAACCGAGAACCGAGGAACAAAGAGATGTAGCCTGCTTAGCTTCACGGGCTGTGGACGTTGCTGCCGTAGCGCGTTAAAGGGTTCTCCGACTTCAGCTGAGTAGACAGAATAAGACCCAAAGGTTTGGTGTAGGAGCTGTGGTCGTGGGCTTGCTCTCTTTTAAACACTGGGAACTTGCCCGCGGGAAGCACGAAGCTAATGTGGAAGGAAGAGCAGTAATTAAAGATGGATGAATGAGGAGAATGAAAATGTTATCGTGAGAGAAAAGGACAGGCAGAAAAGGAGTCCTCCAGGAACGCCGGTTTGCCTGTGTTCATCCTCCACTGTGGATGTTTTTGAGTTGTTTCGGTTACTGTGTGTTACCTCAGGACTCAGATAAGGCGGCAGTTATGGTGACTGTGTTGGGAAAAGAAAGATTAGGTCTATGGTTTCGCCAACTTTCTGAGCAGCCACTTTGCATTCTTCACTTCTGAGACACGGATAGATGACCCAATGCCCCATCCACTGGCCACGTAGAGAATGGGCTCTGCTTCTTTCCAACAAATCCTCTGTATATCGTGAAGCTTGTGTGTAAAATGTACCACAAAAAGCCTTATAGCCTTTTGAATCATCAGTAGTTCCTTTAGTACACTATACATACTGTTTTTACATCATGAGTCCAGAGTCAAAAGTCATGTGTTGATCCTTTGTACCCCCCTCAGAGATGGCTCAAGATGTCTTATGAGGCAGAGAAGACATGCCTGCTCATCCCTCAGGAATCCCGAGCATCGTGTGTGTTCCACACAGCTGATGAGAAAGATGAAATTCCAGGCATGGGAGAGGACAGGTAGACTCTCCGTTTTATTTAAATGCCCACATTTTGGAAAAATGTTCCTCACTGTTTTGTAATGAAAAAGGTGTGATGTAGTATGTAAACACTAGAATTTTTAAAAAATCATTTTATTCACAACCAAGTCCACATGGTTCAAATACAGGAACTAAGCTGAGAACCGTGAACACTCAGAGAGCCCTTTGCTTGATAAAAGGGATTTTTGCATAATGAAAGCGTTCTTCAGATTGATGGAGAATGTGCTATAGATGGTTCTGTATAGAAAAGAGTTCCATAAAAAGGGTTCTACTATTGTTATGAAGTCAACCTTGTGACAATAGAAGAACTCTTTTTTGTGCTATGTAGAACCCTTTTCGAAAAGGTTCTGTATACAACCATCTTCAGCACATTCTTCTGAAGAACCCTTTCAAGATGCAGAAGAACCCTTTAATCTTGCACATGGTTCTTTGAGTGTTCATGGTGCTATTTAGAACCGTTTTCTTTGCTAAAGAACCTGGAAGGACTTTTTTTTAAGAGTGAAACATTAAAACCATCCCATTGTTTCTACACTCATTGTCCATTTTATCAGCTCCACTTACCAGATAGGTGCACTTTGTAGTTCTACAGTTACAGACTGTAGTCCGTCTGTTTTTCTGCATACTTTGTTAGCCCCCTTTTACCCTGTTCCTATATGGTCAGGACTCCCACAAGACCACCACAGAGTAGGTATTATTTGGGTGGTGGATCATTCTTAGGACTGCATTGACACTGATGTGGTTGAGTGTTAGCGTGTGTTGCGCTGGTATGAGTGGATCAGACACAGCAGTGCTGCTGGAATTTTTATACACTGTGTCCATTCACTGTCCACTCTATTAGACAGATCTACCTTGTTGGTGCATTTTGTAGATGTAGAGTCAGAGGCTCATATATTGCTGCACAGTTTGTCTTGGACATCCTCTAGTCCTTCATCAGTGGTCACAGGACACTGGCAACAGGACGCTGCTGCATAGATATTTTTGGTTGGTGGACTTTTTTCAGTCCAGCAGTGACACTGTTTAAAAACTCCAGCAGCACTGTTGTGTCTGATACACTTGTAGCAGTGCAACACACACTAACACATCGCCACCACTTCAATGTCATTGCAGTGCTGAGAATGATCCACCACCCAAATAATACCTGCTCTGAGGTGGTCCTGTGGGGTTCCTGACCACTGAAGAACAGGGTAAAAGGGGGCTACCAAAGTATGCACAGAAACAGATATACTACAGTCTGTAAATGTACAACTACAAAGTGCACCTATATGGAATGTGGAACTGATAAAATGGACAATGGGTGTAGAAACAAAGAGGTGGTTTTAATGTTAAGGCTGATCAGAGTGTAAATATAGTAACAAAAACAGGCTTAGTTTAATTCTAAGGGCGAAAAAGAAGAGCGGTTGTAAGAATGAATTGTCACTGTTTTTGGTAGATAAAACCACACAAACATCATAAGTGGTCCTCAGCGGAAAAAATAAAATACACAAAAATGTGGTATATGGACTTTTTTAATGTGTATTAGTTCTGCTGTATCAGTTTATGAAAAGCCAGTTAATGGACCAGTGTTCATTTATGCAAATGCTCAGTGTAAACCTGTTTAGTTAGTTTTTGCAGACTTTGCATTTGTGGTGGATAAATGCAAATCATAGCCTAAGCTTCAATCTTATGAAATAGTCGGTATACATGTATGTTTGTATTTACAATATTCAACAGAACAGCTTTTGAGTGTTGCTAACCCCTAACATGACCAGGGCCCACCAGAGAGCCCAAAGTTTATTACACGCTTCTATAACCTAAGAATATCTAATACCAGTTTGCACTGAAGTCCCTGTAGTTACTGAATAATAATCCTTAGTATGTAATAAGCCAGGGGTTGAACTAAACTTGCTTGTAATTTGTAGGAGTGGCATCTTTTGTCTTTACATAAGCTGAATGAGAGCATGAACACAGTATGTTTCTAGTTCTATAGTTGTTTCAATTCTATTACTATTGTTTTCTATTGCCTGTTTATCAGAGACATACTTTTTTATTTCATATCAATCGGTGTGTATTACAGTGTTTTGGAGATGTTGAGCTACTCAAAGTTCACAGACCTGGAGACATGGTTATGCATGCCCTCGACACTGCTACCCAGGAGCCTGGAGTCCACCTGCTCGGCCTCACCACTGTCCAGCAGTAGTGACTCTGGAGACACTGACACTGGGTAAGGCATTTTATGGAATTTGGAAGGCGAAGTACTACAGATAGACAATGTGTGTTTGTATGTTAGAGCATGTTATCAAGCTGTTGATTTGTTTATCAATTTGGCATCTAGTAATGTTGACTCTTGATGATTGACCCAACACTTTGCTGCTTTATTTAGTTTTAATATCCCTATTCACTATTATTCTACTTTTTAGTTACGTCATTTATTTTTATTTTTTGCACTGAATTTCGCTAAAAGGCATTGGCATTCTGAATGAGTTGTTTTTGATTTTGTTGTGTATATGGCCAAAGGTGACATACCGGTATTGATGGGTACTGGTGTCAGTCCAATATCAGCAGGAAGTGCTGGACTGGATGTCGGAGGAAAAAAAAAGAATGAATGGCCATTCACATTGTGTGGTGTTGTTAGCTGTGTATTTCTTCCTGTGGGGCAGTAGTGTTTTAGTAGTTGATATGAGTGAATGAGCATGATAGCCTACTTTTAGATGCTTGAGTGCTTCAACTAAAAATAACTAATTATAGGTTAAAAGTTTTTTTTTTTTATGTTTAAATATATGATCAGTATTGGCCAATACTTAAAGTAAAGAAGAAAATAAAAGGTGATACATTGCAATCTCTGTTTACAACCCAGACATACTGCAGTGCACAAAAATCAGTGATTTCTTTCAGAATACTCTGCTGAAGTGCTGCATCTGGTATAGTGTATGTCCACTAGATGTCATTGTGGAAGCATTATCAGAGGATTTGGTGGCAGGTCAGCCTTTTTATTAGTACCCAAAATAATCAATTAAAAACAACAGTGTTAAAGGTAACACTGTCATAGTGGAATTTAGCTCAATCACTGCACGATCACTACTGTATTAAAGATTTTACCTTGAATAGATGGTGACTGCTAGTTAGGACCTATTTAGACCAGCTAGTGGGGGATGCCTGTATTTTTCTGTACATTTCTCACACTGAGTAGCTAAGAGGTGAAGCATTGCTGCTTTGTGTACATCTTGATCCTGCAGTCGTGAAGCTCGTGCTACCATTCTGAGAATTTTTATTATGAACCTTGTGCATAGTGTTTTTGAAAAAGCCTGTCCTGCCTGTGTTATTCACTGAAGCACTGTATGTGCCATTATAATCAGAGAGCTGAAAATTATCTCAGCAATCAAATAAGCTTTGAGGAGTCAGTGATAAGGTCTTCATTTTTTCATCAGTCAGCATAATAGGCCAGAGGACTCTCATTTGCTTTTTTAGCAATACCCTGTACGAAAGCTTAGTGCACATTTCGTTCTAGAAAATGTATAGAAAAACCAAGGTTATATGAAGAATGAGAATTCTGTAGCATTCATAACTCTGGGTAACCGCTACTGAGCTGTTTATTGCAAATAAATGAAAGCATAGCCTAACCTGTAGGTGTTATTATATCTCTTAATGGAAACACAAGCAAACTCTGGAAACTTCTCATATCTCGCTTGAACTCATGAGGAACCATCTCACCCACCATCAGATACGTGCAACACTTGACTCTTGATTGACTGACGTGGCTTTTGTGTGTTCTCTGTTGGCACACTTTAGCTGCAGGTGGAATTCAATATTTATGATGGACGTTGTACACTAGAGAGCTCTAAAGCTGCCTTTCACCAGGGGCCTATTTACCACCCTGTGTGATTGTCCTGCTGTTTTAACTGTGCAGTGGCATCGTGCTGGGAGCCCTGGGCAAATACCATGGTACCACATACAGATGGTGCATGTAGGTTTAATCTACGTCATGGATTGGAGGGAATGCAGTGGAAAACCTTTCCAAACTAATTTTCATTAAGTGGTGAAGAGGGGTGCGTACCATGTTTACAGTGGAGCGTCTGGTAGAGTTTTTATTCAGAAGAAAGAAGGCAAAGTCCTACAAGAGGGGATCATGGAAAAGCCAAAGCTATACACTTCCAACTAACAGGTACATGACAAAAGGGCTTGAAAAATTCACATGAGAATATAATAATCCTTTTAGTAAGTTTAGTAAGTAGGAAGTTGTCTTTTGGGCAAAATTGTTTTGGTCTACAATGATTTACCTTGATTTAACCTTAATAATGAGGAATTTATTTGACTTTTATTAGAAATCAGGAATTTGTGAGTGGAGTTGTAATGGTTTATGGTGTAAAGTGCTCATTACGGTTATAGCTGTATTTGAGTGAATGTTTGGGTGCTGTTGGGAACATTTACTTACTAACTCAGAAATGTATGACATTTTTGGTGGATATAGATGGATATTCTTAATACGTATTATTAAATCTCAAGATTTTATTACATCTCACACTTTTCCCAGACTGCATTTCAATTTCAGTTATAATACGTGTCTTTTAGCACTCAAATAATATGCAGGTTTTTTTGTTTTTTTTTTGCATTGTAATCATAATGGTTAAATCTTCACCTTATGGCAGGCAATCATAGCAGAATAACCGAAGTCATCTAAAACTAAATCTCTTCAGCAGGCCTCTTGAGAGGGAGTCCATCTATTCAAACCATTCCCAGGAGAGGGAAAGCTGTCTTTTGCCACCTTCTCCCATCCTACCAGTCACTGTGACCCCTTCATCCCCTGTGGCCTTGCGGTCCACCTCCACCCCAGTTCTTAACCCCAGTAGGGACTCCTGTCAGGGGGGTGTGAGTCTGAGGAAGCGGCGACGCCTGGCTGCCAGCCCCGGAGGACTGCACTGGAATGCTTCAGGTATGCCAGTCATAAACCAGGCATGCATTCATATATCCTATACCTTTCCCAGTCTGAACTATCTCAAGGTGCTGTGACCAGTTGACTTGTCCATTCTCTTCCCAAATTTGTTCTTTTGTAGCAGTGGTTTAAGGTCGGACAAACTTTGCAAATCATTGACAGGAATCCCATTAACTGATTAAGTTATTGTGAAAATACTTGTAAATAGAGTAGATTATTCTCAAATTATATTTGGGTGATATTGATATTGATATTTGTATTTATAGACCTTTATATTGTATGAATGTAAAATGTTACGTTGTTCAGATGGATAGGATGTCTTTTTTTGTATATAATCACAATAACAATATAATTTCATTGTTGTTTCACACCTGCAATTATGTCTCTGTGAAATTTGCTTTGGAATAAATTCAAACCCATACATATTATTATTAGTATAAAAAGGTTTTGGAGAAATTTGAGTGTAGAGGAGAATTTTAATGTGAAGATACAGTACTGTGCAAAAGTCAGAGACCAACCTTCCTTTTAATTTCTAGTCAAAACAGCCATTAATTAAGAGAGAGAAATAAGAGAAAAAAAGGTCTGGACTAACCACCTCAGAGCCTGGACTGACCGTCTCAGAGTCAGACCTCAACACCACTGAATGTATTTGGGATTACTTGGATTGTGAGAAGCAGACCATGCAGCCAACTTGTAAGAGGAAACTTTAAAAGTGTGGTAAAAAAATATTTTTGAGGCTTTTGTACAATTTCCTGTTAAATATGTGTTTCTGCTATTTTCTGATGCTAAAATATGAATAACTTCATATTTTATTCATGGTTTCTGTCTTTTGCACTATATGAAAGATTAAGGGAAGTATTTGTGCATATGTGTGAGAGACAGAGTTTGTGTATATGCTGAAATGGCTTGAGCCATAATATGGAATTTTCCTGGGGTAAATGTACAAAAACAAGGACAACTGTTTATAACACTGTTTATAATAGGTAAATGAATTATATGAAGATTGCTGGAAAACGTGGAAATCTTCATAAAACCTAAATGTCTGGTCACTTTGCCGTAGAAAGCTGCATTGATACGAGGCAGTATAACTTACATATTTTTCACAGTCAAATGCAAAGGTTTGGGCGCCATGACATGTTTTGTTGATTGAAATATAACTGATTGTGCAGTAAAATGCCATATTTAAGTTTGTTTCCTGTAAAGGATGTGTTAACTTATTTTCACTAAGAGAATCAACAAAACGTAACTTCACTCTGGGTGTTTGAACTTCTACACATGACTGTGAACATATGCGGAGTTTGCCCTTTTTTTCAAGACTGAGGATATTTCTATACTGTGGTGTATACCACAAGCTTTATTATAGCGTGGTGGAAACCAGTCCAAGAATCCATGCTGTTACACTCCCAGTCAGCAGAGGTGGCCCTGTCATTAGTGCCTTTGTTGGACATGGAAATGGCTCCTAATTGCAGGTTGCACTTGTGGCAGCCACCTGCAGGCATTGTTCATTAGTGCTGTAACAATTGCTATGTCAAAGCATACGGATGGCCTAATGAACAATTCATTTGTCAAGATGCTGTCAACTGAAACAACAACTGCTGGCGCAGACGGACTGAGAACTAATAGGTCCCTTCCACCCCCGCCCACCCACCTTCAGAGGGGAGAGCTATTATCAATCTCATTATGGGTGGTGCACACAAGCAGGAAGCTTCTTTCTCAATGCCATAAACAATGTTGACAGCGCCTAAGGGCAGCACATGCCTGCCATAGAGGTTCCAGAAGACATGTTTTTAATACATGTACCTGCTTGAGAGTCTGTACTATACTATATACGCAGTCTAATGACAGTACAGATGCATTTGGCAAAGTAGTGCAGCAGAAACAAAGAAAAGGAGACATATTTTTTTAGAAAGAGCTTTCCATAATGCATATGATGTCTTGCTGTATTGTAATTTTTGTAACATATAACCATGTTCTCCATATTTACTGCCTGTAGCCATTTTGGTAGAGTCTAATGGAGGGGGAAGGTGATGTTTATGTTATGCCATCTGGGCTTTTTGTGAGAGTTTTGACAATAGAGCTCTACAGACGTACTGAAGTCAGCGTTAGTGCCAGAATCAATATTTTATCAAGCAGCCCTGTGGGTATTGCGTATTGGCTCTTTCATGATGCTGTGTTGTGTAATGCAGTAGGTGGGAGCTGAGCTACTACATCCTTTTCATTAGCGTCAGGTCTATGGTTTCTGGGCTTTAAAGCGATACAGCCAGTGTCTGATAACCTCTATGTATAGCCAATAAGCAGCTTGAGCTACAGGAAATTAGGAACTCTGTAGTTGGCCCATTGTTCCTTTATTGACTCATTCATGCAGCTTGCTCATTTGTCTGTTTATATATTTATTCAACAATGCATTCATTCACTTCAGCAATGCTACGTGACTTAAAATAGACTCCACCTAACTATTTTGGCATTGATAATTGATGCAAATTTAGGAGACACATTTAAAAAACAGGTTACAGGAAGATCATTGAACAATTCCCAGCTTAAAACCAATTTGTGAACTTAATTTCTTATAGCTAGTAACTACACAATGAATAAAGTCAGTTATTCCAAGAACCTGAGTGATGACCTTGTATTGAGTATCGTAGTGTAATGTCAGTATTAAGGAATAGGCCAGATCTACTGCTTTTAACACCTTAAATGTTTTTTTTTTGTTTGTTTTTTTTGAGGCACTTTGTTGATTGAAATTCAGAAGTAGTTTTATGTCCTGATGAGAATGTCACATAGGTTTTCACAATGACATGAAACATTCAAAAAATGCTTTTATTGTAATTAGTGGGGAATTCTGTGGATTTTTCAGAATTTCTGTTGAGATGCAAGTCATTAAGGTGGTTTGATATAAAATGCTCCACTCTAGAGAAACTTACAGAATCAGAATTGTTCACGGTGGTGTTGATAAGAACCAGACATCAGAAGCCTTTAATGCCTCTGCAAGCTACCTCACAACTGATGTGTGGAATGGTTACGAATATGCAGTCTGGTGCATGAGACATAGTTTTACAGTAGTTTTGAGAAGATGTTGGCCTAAAGGGTAATTTTTTAATTTCTGTCCTTGCGGAGAGGTACATAGAGGGTGTTCCCAGAGAAAACATTCAGGTTTACCACTTTTTAACCATAATCAACTTTACATATGTAAACTCAAAACACGTGTGTAGTTTCACTGGTGGTTTAGGATAGTAAATAAAATGGCTTTCTGTGTTGTAGACATTGCACCCTATTTCTGTCACCACCATTGTAAAGAAATCTGTATGCCTCTACAATGAACCATTTTATATCAAACTGTCTGTCAAGGACTGAGTTATGCAGACATTTAGAAAATTGGTGAAATTTCCCTTTAATGCCAGTTGTTTAGACATGGATTATGCCTAGTCCTGGACTAAATTGTAAAGTCAATGGTGATTCATTTGAAAGTCATTTTTAGTCTAGGTTTCCAATTAGTCTTGGTCTCAGAGAAACCAGCCCTTGATGTTCAAGTTAGCCATGTTCTCTCCTGGGTATTCTGTATATATCCTGTAGAGGGCACTGTTGCATTTGAGCTTGCTAACAGGAAAGAGTGGAAGTGGTGTTAACATTCCAGAAGAGATGGCAGAGGAGTTAGAGACTGAACGTCAATTTCTCCTCTCCCAGCTCTCTTAAATTCCATTTAATCATGTCTGCACAGGAAGTGCTACAGGTCAGTAGATGGCCTGCTGTTCCTTTCTGTACAAAAATGTCTATTATCATTCGCACTATGCTGCCATGATTAATCACGCTCCCACGTTCCGGCATCAGTTGAAACTGTGGCCGACACCTTAGCATTTAGTCTCCTGTGATTTAACAGTTTGTTGATGGTACAGATATAGAGGGAACAGAACAAGCCATCAGTTTTTATGTTTTATATCCACACAAATTTGATAATTAGGGAAATTAAGAGAAGTCACCTTTGTCTAATACTCTGCAGCTGCCAAAATGCATATCTTGCCAGACTGCCAACCACACTAAGGGATAGCCTTTAGTGTTTGGTCTGGCTTAGCATATAAATGAATGATTGATCCCACTTGGCACAGAACAATCAAGTGTAGAAGTTAATATCGCTGCGCCATATTATGCAGCATCAGTCATACAGTCATAAGTGTTTTCCAATGCAACCATCCGTTTACTCCTCTGCTACTGTTTCTTTTTCATCTGTGGTGTTCAGCCAGAGGAAGTAATGATAGTTCTTCTAAATCTCCCAACAGTACACACATTATCAAGCAATTTGAGGGCTGCATGCTCCCAGAGCGCTTACTCAGTCTGCCTGTTCATATTAGCTGAAAGCCCTGCAGTGTAAACGAGAAGAGCTCTTTTAATGGCTCACTCAGTAGGAGGATGTGATCAGATGTTATGTCACTGCTGGCTGAAGTACATGTTCATTGTGTGAGCAGACAGGGCTTGTATAAAGCCACTTCCTTTATGCTCAGTGTGATGATGATAAAACCTACAATAGCAGTGAAGCCTAAACATTGCTATAGAAACAGAGCCCGTAGCTCATTAGCATAGGTGTGCTTTATTAGAACTTTCTTGGACTTAGGACTCGGGAATTTAATTGGGCCTGTGTTTAAATTGCACTTATTTTACTTTTGGCTGCATTTGCCATACATGGACAGCATGGAAAATAGCTAAGCTGCCTCATAGAATTTGCCTGTATGCTTGCTGAATCAGAGTATCATTTAAACTTTGAGAGTTCCAGGAAATTCTATTTTCATCAATTATATGCCTTTGAAGAATTAAAAAACATATGAGCATCTATTGTAATCTGCCAGATGGCTCTCTGTTGTAACTTTTATTAAATGTTTACGTTTATACAGTCCAATAATTGTTTCATTTCTACATGAAGAACATGCGATTTACTTACAATGTGTGCATATTATTATGAAGTGTTGTGATTCTAGCTTGACAGGTTTGTCAGCTTATCGGTTTACTTGGCTGTTATTGCGAGTCACATTGGTATCAGTAAGGGTGCAACGACTTCAGTACAGTATGAAAAATCTGAAAAATTAGTGTTTGAAACAATGTATAGAAATTTATTATTAATTGCACTGATTTTTCAAGATTTCATCATAATTCAGTATTAGAGGAAAGCAACAGTAAACAAAGTCATTTAGAGTGGTTTGATGTTATCTGCCCAATTCTGCGGAAACTTACCGACTACTGAAGTAGTTTCTTTACAGTGGTGGTGATGGAACCAGGGTCACAATGTCTACAACACATATATAGTCATTTTATTCACTATTCAAAACCAACAGTGAACCTACACATGTTTTCTGAGTTTTTAAATGTAATGCTAATAATAGGTATAAACTGGTAAATTAAAAAAAAGTTTTCTTTTTTTGTCTATTTTTTCTTTTTTATCTTAAAAAATACACTGCATGTAACTAAAAAATATATATAATAATAAAATAATATTGGGGTAAATTCTTTTATAAAACTATTGTAAAACAATAGCAGGCAGCATATTCGTAACCATTTTATGTAATACCTTTCTGTGAGGTAAATTTTAGAGGCATTAAATCTTCAGACATCCAGTATCTGTCACCACCAAGTTTCTCTAGAATGGAGCATTTCATATCAAGTCACTCTGAATGACTTTGTTTACATCTTAACAAATTATGCAGAAATGTTGGAAAAAATCAGCAGAATTCCCCTTTAAAAATGTATTTTTAGAAAGTTCTGCCATCTTTTGTGCAAATTAGAGCAGTGACTGTCAAAACTTGGCATCTCAATGCGTCCTATCAGAGTAAAGTGGGGTGGGTTATGCCATACATGCACCTACTCTCCAAAGATTTAACATTTTTCTGAAGGCACTTATAAATTTTAGGGTGCAGCAAGCTTTGAAAAGGTTCTGTTTGAGAGCTTCTATGTATCTGAGCCAAACAAATGTGTGTAGTGTATAATTGGAACCATATTTTTAACTCATAGAAAAAAAATAATCTTGACCTCTGAAGATTGAAAATCATATATTGAAAATATATACATTGTGAGAACCCTAGCTATAAGTACTTGATGATTTGATATCAACATTTAACAGCTAGGGATAAACATAATTGACTGAAGGCAAAGCAAGCCAGCGATGATGACAACAGCAACTAAAATATTGTGATTTATCTGTAGTGATCAGTTTTGTAACCTTTGTTTGTAACCATTGTTTATTTACAAATATATCTTGGGCAATGAGTCTGCACAGTGTTTTCAGGTGTATGCAATGTATAGGTCTGATTAATATGTGATTTGTTGCACCCATCAGATGGAGAGGTATTTCACTCCTGTTAGCTTGGGGCTAGCCATATTTACTTCTAAAGAGTTTGTAGTGTTAACTACAAACACAAAGTACACATTAAATTAAAGGTAGGGAAAAGACAGGTATAGACTAAATGCATTGTAGAAATAGAACACTGGGTACATTTTGTTTGATAAAGATGTTCAAATACCTATGCTGTGTGATAGATAAATACAGGGGTGCTTGCAGTGAATGCACCGAACCAGATGGTGTGAGGAGATGCACGTTTATAATGGGAAAATAATGACCCAGCTCTGCACGCCAGCACTCTGCAGGAATCCCACTCGTTAGCATCCAGCAAGGCAACTTGATCTGCTACAATGGGACACATGATATGCATAACCCCCCACCCCCACCCCCACATGCACACACGTGCTATCGTCACCGCTGTCACCATAGCAATACGCTACTTGAGAGAAGCTAGCTACATGTTCTTCAAAGTGCAGCTGTGTAATACCATGAGCCTGTCATATGGCACTGTTCCCAGTCATGAATGGCTGAATGGAAGTCCAGATCAGTACTAAAAAAAAAAGGAATGTTTGAACACAGCCCTCTTACAAAAGCAAAAAAAAGAAAGAAAAGAGAGGAAAGAAAAGAAAGAAAATGTTCCAAGTTATTTTCTGGATCTGTTCTGAACCCAGTTGCTTTTCTATGAATGTATGCATAGTGTGTGCAGTCATTTATTACTGCCCTTAATAGTTCTGATAGTAACACATCATCTGAGCTTTGCTGTCTTGTGATTCAGCTTAGTTTTGACATGGCTTAGTGGGTTATATTGTGATCCACACTGCACAGAATCACTCTCAGTATGCCATTAAGAATCTTATGCTTTTATATTCTGGGACCACTGCAGTGCCTTAATCTTGAGTGCTATCACAGAAGACACTCTTGTTGCCATAACAGCTTTTCTCAGAAGGATAACAGATGCCAGATCCTCATAAAGTTTTAATTGCTGAGCTGATTAGCCACTCTGTTGCTACCAGTGACTCGGTAGCTGAGTAGTTAGTAAAAGGGATGAACTTGATCTACTGCAGCCTCACAGCTGACAGCTGAATGAATGCAGTGAAACAAAACACCTCAGCACCTGAAGATGTACACTGTGTGTGCGTATGTGTGTGTGTCTGTCTGCGTGTATATGTTGGTAGGTAGCTTTGGGTGCCTTTACACTTTGAGTACTTGCCTCTTAATCCTTAAGTCAAAAAAGCAAGTTATTTCTGTTTTTTATGTAGTGTCCCTGAAACATTGTCTTGGTGAAAAAACCTGTTGGATATTACGATGACATTATGAGAAGCAATATATAATGATTATTTATAATGTGTCTCTGATTGGGCATAAGTTATGCACTTAAAGAGAAATCTAATTAACGTCTCCTTTAAGCAAAAAAAAATACAATACAAAAGCCTCCTTCCTTATTGTGCAAAGTGCAAATAAAGAAATGAAAAACTAATAGCTTCTTACAACACAATTGCAGGCATATTTTGTAGCATTGCAATGCTGTTAGAAAACAGTCAGCATTCTCTGAACAGCTATATTTCTGAATAGGCCTACAAAAATATATCAATATTTATCTAATTCCTTAAAAGGTCCTCATGGTGATGCAGGTTTTCATGACAATAGCCATTACTGTGTCAGTCACAGAGTTTACACACAACTCTGGGAGTGAGAATAATTATGAAATTTGAAGCATTTTTACATTTTTACCACAGACTGCTCAGATAGAGGATAGTTAGGACAGTTTTATAGATTTACATTTTACATTTACATCATTTAGCAGACGCTCTTATCCAGAGCGACTTACAAAAAGTGCTTTGTCTATCCAGAGAAAGAATCTTCGCTAGCTACCAAGGAGTGCACATGTGCGTTGTAATTGGCTCTGTAGCAGAGTGGTTAAGTCACTCATTATGCAAGATATAACTGGGGTTGGAGCCTGGCACACGAGCGCATACCACCACTTTAACATTAGACACAATTAATAATTGAACTACACTAACACTCTTTGCTTGTAATGTAATTTGATCTTTTCTGTCATCACAGCTATTAATGATTTGTTTTTTGCATAAAGTCTTATTGTGATTACAATAAAAAATATGATTTATCCTGCACCCCTAGTTTAATGTTAAAGAACATGACCTAACAAAGCTGAAAATTTGAAAAAAATGTGAAAAATTGTTTTTTGTTTTATGTCACAAGCTACCATTTTGAATAAGCAAACATGTAAATAGGAATATACTGTATACTAAAGTCTCCTTTTATTATTACTCTGAAACAAGGTAATAATAAACTCTGTCTGAATGGGTACACATACTCACACTATTGCTGTACATCCAACAGTAAAGACAGTATTGTGCTTCTTTTATATAGTGAGTTTACAGTAGCACACAGAAAGCTGCCATTCTACATGCTGATATGTTTTAGTTTGACCATTGTTAAAATGCATGTGCCCCAACTACTCTGGAGGCAGATTTAAATGAGTTATAATGGACACGTTAGGGTATATATTAGGTATGGTAGAGTTAAAGCACTGTAGCCTATGCAGGATTATTTAAGTATTCATATAGAGTTTTATGTAACCACCATGTTTTTCTGTTTGCTGTAGCATCCTTTGTAAATCTGTAGGCTTGGAGGAAGTACTTCTGTTGTGTACCACATTCTGGACTGTTCTGTTCTGTTATTAATACAGCCCTCAATAGAATAGAACTGTCAGAGGCATGACTTACTCAAGGAAGTAGTGGGAGGCAGTTTGAATTAGTTCCATTAACAGGAGGTTTAGGAGCGATCAGAACTGAGACAGGAAATGAGTTGAGGGCTGGTAATAAGTACTTCCTTGTTAATGCAAACAGAGGAATATTAATTTTTGGATTACTCACAAGTGAGAAATAATTGTATTGGTGTGAAGAGATGTTTCCTGTCCTCAGCCTGCCTGGTTCTATGATCTACCCTCCTCCCTCCTGTGTGGGTGTCAGTTGTCACCTGAAGTGTCTGTTTTCCTCTCTCAGGGTCAGTGCTGCGTGACTATGACCGAGGAGAAGCGGCTTGTGTGTCGCATGTGAGGCGCATCCCCAAGCCTATACACTTGGAGAGACCCCGGGCCGAACTGTGGGGGGACAGAGTGACCCTGAGGAAGACCGTGTCAGTGGACGACACACTCCTTCAGCAGACACCCAGAGAGCACCACAGACTGCTTAGCCGGCTGGAGAGAGGAAAAAAGAAGCTCAGGAACATCCATGTGAGTAGCAGCAACTTTAGCCAAAGTGTCAGCCAGACTTGAGAGAGGAAGACAGAGAGAGAGAGAGTGGGAGAGAGAGAATGACTGTGTGTAAGGGGTGGACAATGTGATAGCGACATTACAATAATTTATAATACAGTAAGCTTTTCTGACCATATTGTGGGTATCGTCAATAACTGCATATTTCATTACGAAGAAGTTTAGAAGAGGCTGAGAAGTGGTGTAGCTGTCTCAGGTTTTGCCCTGTTGTTGAGTTCAAATCGGACTGATGCCAGAAGCGCAAAAGAGCATAACTGGCCCTGCTTAATTGGCCCTGCTTAATAATTAAAAAATAATTGTACTCATAGATTTTGGTAATATTTTTTACATGTGGCACTGCTAGTGTGTTGTGTCTGTTTCAACTTTACAGAAAAATAACTTTGTAATAAACTTTAAAATTGTTAATATAATAGCTTATATTGCAGGATGATTCAGGACAGCAACTTAGACCTCATGATTAATGCTTTAGAAGAACCAGTGTGGTTGCCTTAACTCATTCATTACTCTGAAAAGTCAAAAGAAGTAGTGAATTAGTGAAGTAGTGCCTGTACAAGATAAGAGAAAGTGAGGATTTCTTGCATAAAACCCAGGAAGCTTTGACAATGTAATCTTTTTTGCTTGCTGTGTACCCAGGAGCTATTAGTGTAGATACACTCATCCCACGATTCGATTTGATTCCTGATACTAGGTTCACCATTCAGTTAAGCATGGGAAATATAATAGTATTTAATGCAGTGCAGTTTATACAACATTGAATAAAAATAACCGCAGTTGTAGATTTTTGTATTATTATTGTTATTTGGCACTACAGATTCTATTTTGTCTGTTTTGCCATTTTGCTCACCCTATATTTAGTATTGTCATGATAATTTGAACAATATTCAAAGAAGAAAAATCATGACTATAAACATGTTGTTGCACAACTTACTAACAACACTATAGCTGGGAAGCAGGAGTGATGGAGTGGCTTTTAAACAATGCATTTGCATTAGATGACATGATTAACAGAATGTCTATTTCACACAGTGATTTGAAATTTTTTGAATCATTTCACAAAAAGATACGTAAACTCAATGTGTGTTCACGGTTTTCTGAGTGCAAAAGACCAAAGGGTAATCTGATCTGGCATAAGCTATAATGCTTGCTGTTATTTGGGTCAGTCAGCCCAGTGCTGAGTGGATAATTTGAGTCAATAAAATGGCTGCGTCCTGAGACTGGCCTGGAGGCAGATGTTGTAGGGGTAGAGCCACTCCCCAAGGTGAGCATTTGCCCTGGGCACAAGCTACACACATATTGTGCGACTATATTTCATTTTTTGTCTGTTTCAAAAACAGTAGCTTATGATTTCTCTGTATTGGATATTCCTGGAAACCTGTCTGTTAGAGTAGCTCTAAGCTCATACCCCTTTGTAGGTGAATATTGATTTCTTTACCTTGGGTGTTTTGATATGGTTTCAGCACTTTAGTCTTACTGTTGCATAGTCACCATGGAAATGGAGTTGTATAACAACACTACTCAGAACAAAAAGTGATTTTTTTTTTACCTTTAACCCGCATGGAGTTTGATCGTGCTTTGCTGTTAAAGTCAGTGTACTCCACTGGCTTCCTACACCAGTGAGTCAGTGCTTTGAGGACTGCTGGCTGAGTACGGCTGGGTGGCCTTGATGTTCAGAACTTTTGGAGTAGATGAGTCCTATTTGCATACATTTGCGTTAATTTGAGATGTACCTCTATTCATTTTCTAGGAAAGGCTAATGTTAGTTTTTTTTTCTATTTATGTAACCTTAAACATCCAGAGCAGATTCTGTGTGTCTGGTAGTTGCCCTTACTGCTTATGCTGTGTTCAAATGAAATATGAATATTTATCAGATTTTGCTGATTCACTGCATTTCTTTAACTGTAGAGTGGCTTGGCTTGACTTTGTAATGTGCACATGAGGTAAGACTTTAAAAGTTAATCGTTTCATTACTATTTTCATTCCAACTTTGCGATGTAACTTGGAAGCAAATGATGGTGACATTATTTTCAGTCCCTTCTTCTCTGTCGCGTATTCGGAACCACCAACTAATGTCAACTGAAACAACATCCATCCATTTCTTTTCTTAAATAAAAACATTCCAGTCTGCCCAGTTAAGTCATCATGGAGAGGATCAAGTAGATTCTCAACCTGCAGCAAACAGATTTTATTTAAACATGTAGAACAGGGGTCTCAAATTCAAATAACCTGAAGGTCACTGGCCAGGTGGTCTTCTCCAAGAGGGGCTGGTAGAAAAGGTGTAGGGAAAACTGTCCTGTAATATTTTTGCAAACATGAATTTTAACTATATATATGCACTCATTTAAGCATATCTTAGTCGATGCTTAGGAAGTCTTCTGTAAACACGAACCACTACTACTACTAATGAAGATGATTATTATTGTTGTTGTTGTAGTAGTAGAATATGGCTGTGTCTAATAAACATTTTATCATTAACTTCAATTCAATAAACTTTTTAACAGTAGAGTTGCATTTGACTCTTACTATGACAGCATTGGAGTGTAGGATCCATCCTACCCCAACACCGAGACAAGACAATATATATATATATATAATGCTCTCTCTTTAGTCAAATTTCCACACAACCCCTCTAGAAATGGAAAAATCCCCTCTAGAAAATCCCCCGAGACAGGCAAGAAATCATAGCACTCAAGGCTGACTGCTTTGAGATGCATACATTCAGGGAGACTCAATAGGAATTTACAGACCAGCTGGAGATGATTTCCTAGTCTGGAAAATGTATTTTATTGTAAGTCAATGCTTGACTTTTTTCCTTATTGCTCATTAACAAGGGGTCAGAAAATTGTCAAGACACTAAGTCTATGGTCATACTCCACTTTGTAATTTTGTATTTGTGCAATTCACATAGTAAAGGTTGAGTTTCTTGTTGCTCAGGTGTTTTTCCCTTTTTCTCCTTCCTACTTTACATAATGAAGTGTGCCATAATAGAGTGGTGCATCTGAGTCCTGGACTTCTGCCAAAGAGCACTGTTTCTGGGAAGTGATGCGAAGGAAAAAGAGAAAGATAGATAAATCTAGTGCAGTCCACTGCCTCAGTTGTGTTTGTCATTCTCTGAATGCGATTCTGGATGAGTTGTCAGGCTTTATAGCTGCATGGCAGAAAAAAACACAGTGACACAGATATTCCAGCATTTTCCACCTCCACCTCTCTGGCGTGAATCAACGGAAAATGGCAGCGGAAAGCTCTTTTGTTATGGTGAACACCACAGTGAATAGCAAAGGCTTTGAAATTGAAATGCCCCTGAAATTGTACTTGAAAAATTTATTATGTGCCAAAAGGCATTGTAAGGCATTGTGATCATATGTCCAGATTAAGTCTCTCACCTGCTGCAGTATATGGATAGTCCATGATCTTAAATGTTCAGAAGGAACAATAAAAGCCATTCCTTGCCTAAAATTCAATTTCACAGTACACAACTCACACAGTGTGTTTTCCATAGAATGGAGTTATTAGGCCATAGTCCACTTATTATTGAAACTAAAACATTGTGGTCTGTTATTATTTTTCTCTTTTAGATTTGGGTTGTGCCTGCTGGGAGTTTTTGAATACGTACACATCAGTGTCATTTTGGAGAAAAGTTAAATAAATGACACCTTCTCAACAGAGGTGACATTGGGTGCTACAGTGCAATGCAGCAATTTATTGCACTTAGTCAACCTTGTTGCCATGGAGCTTGGTTTAGTGAGGGTTTGTGGCTTGTGTCTTTTTGCTGAAGGTGCTCTTGGAAGAGACTGGGATGTTGTTAGACAGACAGCATGAGAACCTGTCTTTCCAGTTTCGTTCTTAGAAATGGCTTCATCACACAGATACATCTGTATGTGCTTTGGGCATTTCGCGCTAATTTACTGGAAAATGAAGCTTGGAAAGCTGGTCCAGTATCACTTAGAGTGCTCACTTAGGCCTGTTTTTGATGCTCATTAATATATGAGGTACTGCAAAATCGTCAGAGCATGGACAAGTGTAATTTCTTATATACAAAACGTAGTATGATACCTCGTAATAAAAAAAGAACGCAGTGTCATTGATGTGAAGCACTGCTTTTATAAAGCATTAAAAGCTATTTGAGTTCTAATGGTGGCACCTGGTGGAGAATTTTCAGTCTGCTAAAGGTGAGTGAGTGAGTGAGTGAGCGAGCAAGCGGGTGAATTATTTTGTATTAAGTCAGGTCCATGACGTGCATCACATCTAAAAATATCTCGTAAAAGACAGGAAGCATTGGCACAAATTTCTATAACTGTTTCTCAAGGACCATTATGATATTTTAAAATGGAGATGAGTGTACTATGTACTGATTGATGTAGAAAGAGCCTGTTCAGGAAAATTCATTCTCTCTGAGGTGCAATTATCATTTCACCTGGAGCTATTCCACCACTTTTTTCACTCTCGCTTTTTTAGATTTGTCATTTGTCAGGAGAAGTGTGCTCTAGCTGTGGCTACTTGCTGTGCTACCTCCAGCTCCCAGTCAACACCTCGGCCATTTTATTCTGTTATTTTCTGTTCTCACATCTACTCGCTTCCACTCTTCTCTTCTTTTCTCTTCTCTTCTCTTCTCTTCTCTTCTCACAGCTCTTTTATTTTTTAGTCTATACTTTTGTACTTTTTAGTCGTCTTTTGTTCTGTTCTCTTCTATTTCTACTCTTCTTTCATCTACACTCCTCTTTTTTCTTCTTTCATGTACTCTTCTCTTATCTACACTTCTCTTTTGTTCTGCACTTCTTCTCTCCTCCACATTGGTCTCTGGCAGGACTATCTGCAGCTTATCAGTCAAATCAAGCAGTCAGATTCACTACAGATCTCACTACAGCCCACTAAGTCAAATGCTGCTGTGTAAACACCTGCCTGCTGTAAAGTCCTGACCAGTGTTTTTTATTTTTTTTTACCTAAAAATGTGGACTTGCTTGATT